AAGCAGTATTGACTGCACACTTTTAGGGGGGGAAAACTATGTAAAAGTGGTAGCAATCTAACTCTTTCTGAAATTCTAACTGCTTAAACTTCCATGATACATTCAAAACTGCATATGTTAAAAATGCTATAAACTTGGTTTAGAAAATGCATTGCTCTCATAAGCAACAAGTGTTTCTTAATATTTAAACAGCTCTTATTGCTAATTTGAGCATCTCCTACTGCATAGAGGTCATCTTGGTAATGCTGAACACAAGGCTCTGTTTGGTATGGTGCTGAACAGAGACCCAGTAGTCTACACGGTAAAAGCCGTTGCGTTCATCCAGGTAATTCAGGGGGAAAAAAGTAAAACAAAAAAATAAAAAAAAAGGGCAAGCAATGGAAAATGAAGAAATGTGTTTGGAGCTACTTGTGTGACCGGAATTTTTGTACACCTGTACTTCGTTCAAGCAAACGTAATACATAATCATATTATCGCACCACAGTACAGTTGTTTTCAGACATCAACTAGTGTGCACTAGAGCTGCAAATACCGATTATTTTGCTTATAGATTAACCTGTCGATTATCTTTCATCATCGGATTGCAAAAGGTTCTTTTTTACAAAATGAAACCAGGTAAAACTATAATTTTTCCTCTTGAGAAGTTCTGGATAGAGCATATTGACATGTAAAAAAGTTATTTTTATCATAAAAAAATGTTTACATATTGTTTTACAATTTTGCTGTAAATGCTGCTCAAGGTGGGTTGTTCTGTCAGCTAAAGGCATGTTTTAGAATCTGTGTATTCCAGTTAATGATTATTCGATTACTCAATTAGTTGACGATTATTTCAATAATCGATTATTCCGTGTCATGATCTTGGTGTTGATGTGGAGCCTTTCTGGAGAATTCTCTAAGAATGATTGGAGTTTTCTGATTGCCTGATCCTGACCCCTTCTGCCTTTGGACCACTGAGCTTGCCTGTTCTCATTCTCATCTGTTTTCCTGACTTGTCTTTGGTCTCCTGATGGATTCTGCCTGTTTACCGACCTTGGAACTGATTCTTGACACCGCCCTGGATTTCCCTTCGGCACCTCTTCCGACATCTGATCTCCTGGCTCTGAATCCTGAGCACGTCGTCCACACCGGCTTTGGCTTTGCCCTCTGAATTACAGTACCTTCTTTCATCTGTTTGGATCTGATTTCCTGCCTGTCCTCCGACCTCTGGGGCTTTAACATCTGGGACTTTCTGGGCAGCGTTTGCTGCTTCTTGTTGGAGGCACACCGGCTGGAACCTACCTCTTACTCTCGGCATGGACTGAACTTTAAGACTAGGTTAGTGACTCACACGTTCATAATCTTCCTCCGCCAGATTGACATTGTCACTAACCTGTGTTCTCTTTCTGCAGTGGTTCCTGTCTTAGACGCTCTTGTTGTTCACCACAGATCTGTTGCTTTTGATAAACGCTTTTTTTGAGATATCAAACTGTCTGTTTGCTTTGAAAACTGGGTCCTCTGTTCTGAGCCTTGACAATTCGATTAATTGTTTCAGCCCTAGTGTACACCAGAGTTCGGCTAGAGCTAAACTGAGAGCAACTCTTCAGGCTGCACTAATTTGGTGAGTATTAGAGTCATTTTTTGCTTTCATTCTGAACCAAAGGGGATCAAATTTAGATAATTCTAAATTTAAATCAAACTAAAGCTGCAGTTGTGAAAATATCCTTATTCTGCTGTCTTGTTTTTTTTTTTTGTGAAACAGCCCTCTGGTAACCATTGGAATCCAGACTTAATCATCTCATAGCAAACTACATAATGTATGGACACAACGCTTAAAATTAGTTGTAGAATATAGTTATTAATATAATAGCAGAATGCAGTTATTTTTAAAATACCACAAAATGCAAATTCAGACTTAAATCTGAAGAGATGTTGTGGACCATCTGTCCTCTGTGGGAAATTTTGAAAGCCATATGTCTAGTTTAAGCATGCTATATATCTGCACCATGTGTTTCTGGCCCAGCCACACTACCTCCTCTTCCACTTGGGAGAATCTGATGGGAAATTTCTTTTGTATTAACGAAACATCATCATGTCAGTTTCAGGAGCAAACAGCTTTTAAATGGAATGAAGATAGTTGATTGGATTGGCTGCAGCAGATGCCAGCCACTGACTCAATATACAAGGATGTATTCCCAATCAAGGCCAGTTTCTGAGCTACTGCAAAGGTGCCAACTGTGTCACAGGTGTCCGCTCCTGGATGTGCATAAGTGGCCGCATCCTGTGTAACCTACACAGCTGGCAGCACTGTGAAACCATGGCCTGCTAATTCATCTTCTCTTCCCCATCAGCATGGTGAGAGAGAAAGCAAACAGGAAACGCAAGAGGTTTCCTTCAATCTGTCTGAACTGTGTAATTGCTGAAATATAATTACTTTGAGTGTTTGTCTCTTCAACAACTTCCCCAACCTGGGAAATTGTCCATTTCTAGTGCAGGGCATGATTAAATTCTGAGTATTTTCACATTTCTTACCAAAACAGCCTCAGATTCTCATAAAGAAAAAAGATAAAACACAAGCTTTATAAGTGCTCAGGGATATTCTGCCATCCATGATAATCCTGTGTAATTCCCAGCAATTTCCCACTTTCAAAATGCAGCACAATTAAAATCAGTGTGTGACAGTAATGCGGCGAATCAGACCCTGTGACATTCAACATTAAGCATCACAGGTTTCTGATTTCTCCTCCTTTTGCTGGATGTTAATATAACATTTTCTACAGGTTTACAGCTGTAAAACAAATGACAGCATGTCATGAAGAAGTTGCATCCCTATGGCACCTACCAGAATTGTTGCCCGTGCTGGAACTTGACATACTGTTAGCCATCTGTGTAGGTGAAGGCAAACTGAAGGTCATGTTGGTAAAGTTGTTGTTAGGCTGCTGTTCACACAGCAGCATATTGATGCTTCCAAACATGTCCTCTTGAAAATTCAGGGACTCAATAGCCTTAAAGTTCATGGAGTTTCTCAGCCTGATTACCTGGGTTATACAATAGTTACAACAAAATAGTTAATTTTCATCTTTGTCATCTGGGTAATATTAAGATTCTTCACAAATGTGAGTTTTGTCAGCACCAACATTTTCGATCAATGGTAATGTATCTCTGGTGGTTTTCGTCAGTAGTGACTCTGTGTCGACTGAGTTCTGGTCCAGAGCAGAAGGGAGCTTGAACAATAAAGAAGCCACAAAGAAAATTAGTATAATCAACAAACAAATAGCACAAATCAGGTCACTAAACCAATTTTTATATATATATATATATATATATATATATATATATATATATATATATATATATATATAT